AACCACACCCTAGTTCTTGCATACTTTCAAGCTGTTTGTGTCATATTGAGGCCATTGTAAAGGAACAAACAAGAAAAGCATCAAACAAAAGAAACATTATCAAAAAGAGAGGATAGAAGCAAACAAGAGTAACAAATAAAAATAAAAACGCAACAAAAATATAAATCATAAGTAGATAATGTGAGATGAGTTTAAAAAAAGAGCTGAATTTGATAACATAATAAGGAATTCCAAAGTGTAATGACAAATGAATACCTACATATTTTAAACAATTGGAATATCCAGTACACACTGTTTAGCAAACCAGAGGAACTTAAAGTTGCAATATCTGTTCAATAATTTAAAAATGCACTCATAAAGAGAAGTGTGTCAGAGGTAATAGATTTTGTACTAAATACTGAATATTGAGGAGAGATTAACAATTATTATTTATTTATATTTAAATCTAATCATTATCATCATAGATATATTACATGGTGGACTGATACACTCATAAATTCATGCAGTTTCTTTGTTTGCATGACTTATTTTGTGAGGCACATAATATTATATAACCATAGCTGCGGTGTGTTCTGTGTGCTTTTCATTCAGAGCATTCAAGCCACCAAAACAATGAAGTACGACTGGTATTACATAGTCAAATAACATTATCCTGTTCAGCAGGATATATCAATGCTATGACAACACACACAAATTGTTTTCAATACAAACAGAAGACATATGCTCAAATGGGAGGTAAGACAGCGGAGATACCAAGATGGAGTTGATTGTAAAAAGCAACAGAGATTGTGGAATATAAGTGAAGAAGATCAAAGTGTAGGCAGAATGGTGCGTGTCTCGCAAACAGGAAGGCCAAAGAAGAGGTGTAAAGTTGTGGTTAGGGAGGAAATGCAGCTGCTTGCAAAACTGCAAGTTTCAGAGCACGGACAAAGATCAAGAAAAATGATCTGGAGCACCTAAAGAAGTTTTTACCTAAAATGTCTGGTGTTGGACGTAAATGATGTTATTTTAGGAACATATACAAAAAGGAGTCATTGTTCTTACGTAGAGACGAAAAAGTCTGTACACTCCCTGCAGACGGACTCAGTCAGGGAGTTGCTGAAGAATATAGTGAAGCATTAAGCAGTTCAAGAAAAAGAAAGGGAGGAGACTGTTATCGTTGACCGTTATCGTCGACCATTATCGTCCTCGTGTGGCCGGGGTATTATACCCCGGCCACACGAGGATGATAACGATAAGATAAGAGCCAGAGCGTCCAAAGCGGAGAATAAACAGAAGGGCAACCATGCGCGGGAAGTCTTCTTCGCTGCTTTGTGGCAGACTACAGCGCCACTTACAGGCCTGGCATATGTACTACAGCGTCTCCAGCGCTTTCGAGCGGTCTCGTGTGAACGGACACGTTTCTGGTCTGGTGCCTGTTGCGTGTGGACGGAAGACTTTTTTGATAACGATTGCGGTCCGTTACCGTTATTGTCCTCGTGTGGCAAGCACCCAAAGCAGAGCTAAATGAAAACAAATATTGAATTTACATTCACCAGTTGGACACAAAGATGACTCCAAATTGTTGGCTGTTTGAGTTTGTTCTCCTTGCCTCCAAGTTGTAAAAAAATTCTAATTATACTGCTCAACTTGCCCTCATTTATACTCGTAGTGTCATTAAATATCCAGGTAATAAAACATTTTGACAGCAACTCTTCATTTTATTCCAGTATTCGAGTAAGTTCAACAAATTGTCTGTTTCAATACGTCTCTGAACACCATAGTTTTGACTGTTGGATTCATCCCGTCTCTTCCTCCTCCTGCAGGGCTCGTGCTGTGACGACTGCTGCAAGTTGATTTGGTGCTACCCGTGCGTCTGGTGCCAGATGCATCGTGAGGTGAAGATCAGGAACAACCGACCGACCAACAGCTCAGTCGTCACCACGCAGGTTTATCCAGGATAAAACACAACCTGTTTTGTTTGTGGGCTAAGGGTTTGCCACATGTTCGACATATAGCCTGCTAGTTCTGCTTACAACTCCTTTTATATACTGTTTTAACAATCACATGTAATGAAGCTTTTAGCATTTAGCACTGAAGCTACTGTAGTAACCATAGTTTTAGTAGTGATGTGCTGTTTGTAATGCCTAGATTGTATACTTAACTTGAGATTCACTTTTGAAGCAGGAGTTAACATGTTAGCACGTTGGATGTTCTGATACTGTATACTGTCAGGTGTGGTTCCTGTATGAGCTTCTATTCCATCTGGCCAATAAAATATTGCTATTTCAGTTAACAAACTACATCTAGCAACTTTTTTACCCCAACACAATCACATATTTTCTCAGCTAGGTAAAACTCTCCAGTTCCGTTTTTAAGATCATGTCTGGATCTGAAACGTTTTGACGGTTTCCCACTTCTCTTTTTCTCATAAAGTGAGAGTATTTTGATTTCCATATTGAGTCATGCCCGTCAAGACAGCACAGGAAACGTTTCAGATCAAAACTGCCTACATTACTTTTGTTTTTACATGTAAGTGAGATTACCAGTTTCAGTTGGCACTCAGTGTTTGAGAGGAGATCACTTGATTAAATTGGCTGTTAAGTATAACATCTTTTTACCAGAGATGGTGCACAGTCTTTATACATCGCTGATAATGATGTGTGATGATCATTTGTTGTTTCATGAGGTAGTTAGGTCTGCTTTTGCACAGAAATAACATCAAAGCACCAGAAAGCATCAAACTTAATGCTAAAAGATAAAAAAAAAAAACGGACTAAAATGTGATATTTGTAAGCATACAATTTAAAAACAAATGGAGAGAAAAGATTCAAAAAAGATTAAACAGTATTAAAAATGACAAACAAAAAAATAATGTTTAGGTTCTTTTCAGCACTGAAAACAACACATAATGCCAGATTCTACTTATCGTGTCCTGTTGCGAAAATTGTCCTCAGTTGCGTAAGGAAGAAATCTGGCAGCAAATGTAGAAATAGTCATACAAAAATCTGAGTGTTTATTCTGACCACTCTGTTCCTCAATCTTGTGTTATTCATCCGAGAAACTTCTCCAAGTTACTGTAATGTCCTTATTATCGAGCATTGATTAGTAAAAACATATATTTTTTTTACATCACATTTGGATTAAAATGCAACTGAAACATGAGTCACTATTCATTAGTTCCTTTATAATTGAATACTAATTAAATCCTGTCACAGTTTTTATGATATTGTGAAATAGCGCTTAATTTCTCAATACCATCACATGTGATTGCTCGGAATGTCAACTCTACTTCATTTTCTCGTAGAGCACTTGAGATTCAGTATCTTGGAATGTGTTATAGTTTCCCAGTTAGTCTCTCTTTTCTGAAGGAGTGCTTTTCACAGACTTTGGCCTTGATTAGGATATCTGCATAACCAAGACCTTTGAGTTTTTATTGAGGATGTAGCCTTGAGCTCAGCAAACTCCTCCTTTCTTCTCTCCCAGGATCCTGTGAAGTCTAGGTTTCATTTTTCTGGAAAAGTGTGGAGAAAAGTTGGGAGTCACAGGCAGGGCAGGGGGAGGAGGAAAGGGTGTGTGTAGTGACAGGAATGCAGAGGAGGTGTGTACAGTAGGTGGAGAAGAAACACACACTCTGTAGTAGACAGTACACTTACTCACTGATGCTGGTCATATTCATGTTACCTGTTCTCAGAAATATACCAAAATATAACAAAGTGGAACTGGATCAGGGCGTATTTTGTGTATTTTGGTACACATGTTTCTTATTTACACAAGCTGTATAAATAGAAAAGTATTTCAAACGAGTTACACATCAACTGAAATGGTGATGATATGTTTTGCCCCCCAGTGGCCATAAATATAATAAACTAAATCTTAAACCCATCACCAAAAATACAAACACAAAACTTGAACTAACACTTGACTGACAGATATTTAAATAAACACCAAACACACACAATCAAGTTACAGATGAAACTTGTCAGGGAACATAAGTAAAAAGGTGTATTTGTATTCATAATGGATGAAGCACAAAATACATATGACACAAATATGTTAATATTGTGGTCAGGAATAACATATTGGTTTGCTTAAACTGTAAATCAATGGTAAACAATCTTAACTTTACTGCAAAACGGTGAACACGAAGATATGAAACTACAAACCACCACGAGCAGCAGCAAATGACCGCCACCAGTGTTTAAACACCCAAACAGGAAATATCAGAGTGGCTCAGTGGTGTGGTGGTGTTACATTTATCACGTCAGTCCAGTCAGAGAGAAAATAAAGACAATAGACATATGAACTCTATCAACGACACGTTCAAACACTAGAATAAAAGCAGCAGCTGTATTAACATCTGTTTACCTGTAGAGGGCAGTGTTGCACCATCAAAGGAGACTTATTGGACACTATTGCAAGAAAATATCACATAACATGTATTTCCCCTCTCTGTTAGTTCATAATAATATAATTTATAAAAGGGGCTGATAGTATATTTGTTCTTACTAGGGTTGAATGCTTAATTTTCACAGGTTAATGTTGTATACTATGCTAGAAAACAAAATTTTATTTGCTTTTTATGAAGAAATTTGAAAGGAACTTGATACTACTTATGGTTAATTTGTTAATAAGCTCCTGTTAGTAACCTATTAATGACTGGTTGTTACTCCACTCTCAGTTGTTACAATTCTAAATCAAGATGGCATTTTATTTTGCGTTATGTTTCACCTTTGTATCAACAGATATGTGTGTAAACTGTGTCACTTGAATGTGCTGTAATAATATAGCAACTAGGTACAGATCAAAACAATTAGTCATCATTTCAGTAACTAATCAAGGAACTTTGAAGATTTGATTAATAAATACTGTGCAGCGAGTATGGTGAAATCAACAAATTGTCAGGAAGTGAAGTGCAACTGAATGCTTTACAAACAGGTGGCAGTTCTCATCGTTTATTCACCAGATGGACCGGAAGCTGTGTTTTTTTTTAACTTTGTTGAGCACACTTACCAGAATGAGGAAGTTTAGTGCCTCCCACTGCGTGTGTTCACATGCTGCGACTGCACCGCGACGAGGAGACCTCCGATGGACGTCTACCAGGAGGCTGTAGGATATCTCAAGTCACAGCATGTACCAGGTGAGACGGGAAGACATGTTTTATAAGAAAAAGTTCATTTATAATGCATTATACATACTGTTTTAACAACAAAACTGAAATAACCCAAACCCGAAATGTAGTCATTATTTTGTTGAGAATGCATGCATTTGTCTACAGCACAATCTCATCATTGATCTTTTAAGGAACAACTTCACGAAGATGGGAAGCAGATAAGGGAACTTACAAAATATTGCCCCCACATACTACTTATGCATCGTGTGTTTGTGTGTCAGCTGTAGTCCAAACGGAGACTGAGGTCATGGAGGAGGATGTGTTCCAGGAGGAAGCAGATTCCTGTTCTCTCTCTCCTTTTCATCCTGAGAGCGTAGACTTCCCCGACACCCCGGTACGTTTTAATGTTTGAAGATTCAAAACCTTTTTATTATTTCTTTACATTTGGCACAATCTTTTGTTACGTAGACAAGATTCAAGATCATTTTCACCTCACAAAACTCAAGAATGAATATGCACATTTTGGATTTTGCACACAATGTCTTGAATGAAGTGATTCACTTTTTCGGTACAAACAAATGCAAACTTGCGACGACTTTGAGCTGCTTATTATAGTTTGTTTTTATTGTACCAGTTGTTAAGGAAGAGGAAAACATGAGGTTTAAGTGGGGGAAGACTTTATGTACATTTCATTACCGTATTTGTTAATTTTGCAGAATACAACAGAGTACAAAAACAATACGTGAATTCATGTTTGCCTCCACGTCCAACTGACTTCAGACCTTTTCTGTCCCTATCAGAAAATGTATTTTAAAAAGACAGGGAAGTAAAAACAATAATCATTAAATGTTATCGTTGTGTTTTGTTGGATTTACTTCCTTTTTCCAAACCTCAGTGTGTATAAAAGTATTGAAGAAGTAACCTGTTTACATTGACATAGACATATTTCCTGTTTTATGACTATCAATTATTAATCTGATTCAGCCTAATTGTATTTACTTGTATTTAAAATGTCCCAACACTGACTTTGGTAATATTTGTTGCATGTCTGTGATTCCAGACGTTATCCAGCCCCGAGGAAATGCTAGAGAGGAGGCTCATGGTCCTGAAAGGCATCCTGGAGAGTGAGGAGGTTTATCTCAGAGAGCTGGAGGCCCTGCTGATGGTAACAAACACATTCAAATAATTATCTTATTTTAGCATCAAAACATGCTGTCAACTCATGCTATTCTCTGGTCTATTCTATTTTTGCAAAAAAGAGGAATAACCCCGTTTAAAATTACAGTTAAACTTCCCCTTTGTTATTCTGCTGTCACCAAAAAGGAGAAAACAGCTCTTTATATAATGTAGCCTGCAGGAGAATCAGCAAATTACTTTTATTTTGAGTCCAATTTGACATTACATGAACGTAAGGAAGTCCTTGGTTTGTTTTCTGTGTGTATACTGTATCTGAGTATGAGCTGCTGTAGGGTGTGGTTAGCGTTGTTTCATACAACATTATGAGTGTCCTCATAGCTTCCTTGTTTAACAACACTTTGTTCTCCACCAGAGACGAGGTTCCCCTTTTATTTATCTTAAAAGATTGATACCCCTCTCATGCATAAAGTTAATATGAAGCTACGGGTAGCAGGTGGCTAGCTTAGATAACAACATGCTTACTGTAGCTTATGAACACATTTGAGAGAAGTATCAATTATCTAATTTAAAGGTCCCCTATTATACTGTTTTTCATCAATATATTATAGGTGTCAGATATATACTAAACATGTCTCTGAAGTGTTTGGCTCCAAATACCAAACAGATCATTGCAGCATCCCATAATCCCTTCTGTTTCAGCCCTGTTTCAAAAGTGCTGATTCTCTGTCTGTTACTTTAGTTGAAAATAAGGAGCCACTCCCCACGCCCCTCTGATGCCCCTTTCACACCGGCGCTTTTCCAGCTCCTGCTGGGAGCTGGAAAAGCGCAGTTTTTTCCTGTTCACACCGCAGCGGCGGCGCGTCATAGCTCCAGAATGCGGTTCACTTCCAGCTCCAAAAAATTGTCGGTCCAGAGGCAAGAGCTTCGGAGCTATGACGCGGCGTCTCTTACGTCGAGGCGTGCAGGAAACCTTACTTTGACCATCCGCTGTTATTGATCATTGTGGAGAGCAGGCAGACGTTTTGTTTGTTATTATAGCAGCTATCGGATGGAATTAATACATGGGCTGCACAGGTTGTCATGTCCGACTATCACAAGTAGAATCATAATGAAAAATACGCCGGTAAAATGTGCCTGTAGAAAACGGCTTAGCAAGTAGTCAGTTTAGCTTCGGTTGCTATGCTAACATCACCCATGTTATACCAGAGAAACTTTCATAACAGCGTTGTGATGCCAAACAGCGTCAATTCAGACTGACACACATTCACTTAAGGGGAACTGGGGATATGTATCAGCTGCTTGTGTGACAGTCAGACAGTGAATACTTTAGAGCCGTGTGAGCTAACCCGGAGCTAACGGGAGAATACACTCCCGTTGAAGAGCAGCCACTGCAGCGGTCGGTAAATGCCGCTGAAACACATTAATAAACAATGAACCACGGCACTCTGGAGAAAAGTATAAGGTTGGAGAAGTCGTTATTTAATTTAATCTGGCTTCGTATGATTAAAAGCAACACGATCATCGACCCGACGCAGTCCCCGGCCCGTTGTTGTTGTGGGAGAAAATCAGCGACGTAAACTGTGACGTCATGACGCAGCAGCGGCAGCTCTGGGCGGTGTGAACAGAGCGGGAGCTGAAAAGGGAAACCGGAGCTGAACCAGAAAAGCTCTCGCTAGGAGCTAGAAAGGGAAAAAACGCTGGTGTGAAAGCCGCATGAGAGATATTTGGTTAAACAGAACACAATGGTGCTCTAGGAGGAGATTCAGGTGATAAGGGGGGGGGGGGGGGGGTTACCTTGGTTGGTGATTGGCTAATGGTTACACAAGCCAACACATCGTTATGACATCATAAAGTGGCCAAAATCTGATCAGCTCATTTTCAGACAGGTTTTTATATAAATGGATGGATGGACATGAACAAGGGGATTTAGCATAATAGGTGACCTTTAACTTCTGCAAGATGCAGGACGTGATGGTGCAAGAACAAATACACCACATTTCTTATTTTCTTCTGCTATTTAAAGCAACTGCCTGTATGCGTTCTTACACAACGTGACTCATTTGACCCAAATAAACGTGCTCAGAGTTGTGGGTGTGTATATTTCTTACAACAGACTGTGTGTGTTTGCTGTTATTCAGCAGTGCTAAAGTTGAGAGGCTGCTCAAACGCACCTAAATGAAGCTTTGGGGGCTGAACTCTTGATTCAGTATGTTCACACTTTGCATCTCTGCTTGTACGGCTCAATTATTCCCCTTCTTTTTATTTCCCTGTAGCCCATGAAGGCCCTGCGCGCCTCAGCCGGGACGTCCAAGCCGGTTCTGTCCGGTCAGCAGGTCCAGACTGTGTTCTACCAGGTGCCGGAGATCAGAGACATGCACCAGAGCTTCTTCTCGGGCCTGAAGGAGCGTCTGAGCGCACACTGCCGCTCCGAGCCCGGCCCCGGGGAGGACGGGCAGATGAGCTACACCGGCTTCGAGCTGGTGGTGGGGGACCTGTTCCTGAAAATGGTGAGTCGTCTATTGTGTTACATTCATTCACCTCATTTATATTTTCAATTCATTTTCATTTCATTTCCATTTAATCGTTTATTTAGCAGGGACAATGCACATTAATGAACACTTCAAACTAAAAAATGCAAATAGTGTAAATATGCCGGATTTGAGCTTTGAGCTAATTTCCATCACATAAAACATTTAAGAACATGACAATTATACACATAGCAAAAACAAATACATGATATGCAAAAGGTGCAAAAGAGCAAGAGCAGCACACACGTGGCAATACAATCTAGCAGCAACGACATATAAAGTGCAAGATAAGATACGAGAGATACATAAAGTGCAAGAGAAGATACCCCTGTATTAAAGTGCAGTTAGCGGTGATTACACGTCTGGTTGTTTCTCAACCATTCTTTGAGTTGACCTTCAGTCTCCTCTGGTGTCTGACCTAGTGCAGCGTCCGGTGTGTTTTTTGTGGATGAATTCCCCTGAGGGGGGGAGGGGGGGGGCAGTCCATGTAAACATTTATAAAAAAAGCACATACTTTTAAAAGACTTAAAATTGTGAGTCTTTTTGGTGATATGAATATGGCTTTCTGTCAAACACCTTGATAGCTCTCTTGTACAGCTGTTCTTTTGGTTTAAGGGTTGAGGCACAAGCAAACGACCAGTTTGTAAAACAGTATTCAATGTGGGATAGAATCATACAGTGGAGGTATGATTTGTTTAACATTTTGGAAGTTGAATTTAACGGTATTGGATACTTTCTTGATATGTTTCTTAAAAGTCAAGTTCGAGTCCAATATGACTCCAAGATACTTGAAGTGGGAGACTAGTTCTAATTCTGCTCCGTTTAAAAACGTTTTTTTTTTACGTTTAACTGTAAGCCATTGTCATTGTTTTTGTTAAAACACTTTCTGTTGCTCCAAGTGGCTAAACAGTCAATCAATACTGCTCCCATTAAATCTCAAAACTAATATCCAGTTTTCTTTCTTGCTATCAATGATTTATAGTTAATATTATTTAATTTAATTTGAATACAGTTTTTAGTATTCACACATCCATATAACCTTTTTGGATTGTGTTCATTTTTACAAGAACAAAATGGTATGTATGTATTGTTTTAATAAGAATAAAACCAAACCAACATTTAAAAAAACATACATGTTTGCCTGTCTCAGCACAGGTGTAACTAATGATGCTAACGAGGGCTCCACAGTGAAGCCTGTCAGAGAGCCAGCTGTGTGCAGCCCTCTTTAGTGTGATCTGTTCCACCTGTGTCTCTCCTGCTTTGGGGAGGGCCAGTGTACACACCTGTTAACCTGGCCCCACCTTGATGAGAGTCTAGAAAACACTTGTGCTTGCATAGTGTTCTTGATAATCAAAAAGAGCGTCAGACCAACTTTCAGTGTACACAGCAGAAATGGGATTACAGTGGGTGGAAGAGGTCAGACCAGATAGGGTGGTGATATGCACAGATTCATTATCCAGTTTACAAAGCATACAGTCAACAACAACTGCCAGAGAAGACATACTCATAGAAATCAATCACAGCCTGTTAAGACTTCACAGAAGCGGCATAGATCTGCAGTTCTGCTGGGTGCCTGCTCATGAGGGGGTGAAAGGGAACGAGTGTGCTTAGCAAAAAGTGCACTACAAAAGGAAATCACATTACCAGTTAAACTTGGAAAAGGAGAAGGAAAAGCAGTAATTAAGAAAAAAGGGATGGAGATCTGGCAGAAAAGGTGGGAGAAAGACCAGAAAGGCAAAGACTATCATCAAGTGCAAAAGACAATCACAATTAATATTTATAAAGAAAGAAACAGAAGGGAGGAAATCATGATAGCTAGGCTCAGAATAAATCACACTGCATTGAATGGTACGCTGTATGTCATGGGGAAAAGTGACAGTGACAAATGTGGGAACTGTGGAGTTAGGGAAAATGTGGAACATATTTTATTACATTGTGTCACCTCTAGAGTTGAAAGAGGAAAGTTAAGGGATAAAGTTTTAGAGGCAGAGAGGGAGAGGAATGTAGCTGGTATTCTGGGAACAGAAGGAGAAGGAGTAAGAGCTACCAGAAAGGCACTGTTCACCTTTTTGAGGGAAATTGGGATAGTTTTTTGTTTTGTTTAATTTATTTTATGGTTTCTTAGTTTTCGATATGCTGGTTTTATTAGAGGGGTGACATGATGATACACACTCGTGTACATTAGGTGGCGGTATGCAACCAAAAGCTGTTTGCGATCCGCCATTAAAAAGAGAAGAAGAAGAAGTGTTCTTGATTTTAGTTCTGCTTTTGATGTCATTGACCATTCTTTGTTGTTGCACAAGCTGGAACAATATGGTTTTAATTTTGAAACGCTGAGGTGGTTAGAAAGTTACCTGACAAATCAAAGTCAAACTGTTTTTTTTAATGGAAGTCTCTCAAAGATGAAAACAGTCACTTGTGGAGAACCTCAGGGTAGTTGTTTGGGACCACTTTTATTTTCTATTTTTACAAATGACCTACCATTAGTGTTAGAAAAAGCTAAAATTGTAATGTATGCAGATGACTCAACAATATATTATGCAGCATCAACTACAAGAGAGTTGACAAATGTTATGAATAAAGATCTACTACTGATATCAGAGTGGGTCATAAATAATAAGTTGGTACTTAAAGGTGGGGTAGGTAATTTTGGAGAAACCAGCTCGAGTGCGCTAGAATTTGAAAATACACAGCCGGAAAAAATCTGCCACTTCCTTATAGAGCCCCTCCAACACACACGAACGCGCACATGACCAATGAGGGCACGAGATAAGTTTGTGCACAGATGGAAGGCTGACAGGCAGGTAGGCCATCCAATCATTTTAGCCGGCCCGGCTAAAATGATTGGTCGTGCTTTTTACAGTATTACGGCTTCCACAGATGACATTTTTTTATGGATTTTTTGTCAAAGCACTTAAGATATTCATTGCTATCGGGATGTTAAGAGCATTCCATGGAATATAACAAAAAGTGTATCTCGAGCCGGTTTCTCAAACTTACCTACCCCACCTTTAATGCGGGAAAAACAAAATCGTTATTAATAGGATCAAATCATCAGTTAAAAGGTGAACCAAAATTGCAACTACATTTAAACCATATTGAAATTGAACAGGTCAAGGAGACAAAATTGCTAGGTATAACCCTGGATCATAAATTATCTTGGTCTAAACAAATTGATAATGTTGTATGTAAAATGGGAAGGGATGTGTCAAGAATTGTAAAATATTTGCCAATGGATGTCAGTAGACAAGTTTTGGATGCTTTGGTTCTGTCGCAGCTTGATTATTGTTTGGTTATATGGTCTAGTGCTGCTGAAAAAGATTTAAACAAACTACAAGTAGCACAAAATAAGGCAGCACGATGTGCACTGCAGTGCTCCTACAGAACCAGAGTCACTGAAATGCTGGAGACACTGAAATGGTTAACTGTCAGACAGAGGTCAACTTATATTTTGTTACATTTTGTCAGAAATATTACAGTGACTCACTCACCAGATATATTATCACAAAGGTTTATAGCGCAATATGCACAACATAACTATCAAACACGACATACAATAGAAGGAAGGTTTGTATTACCCAAATCTAAATCAAATATGGGACAGAAAACAGTCATGCTGTACAGAGCCATGGTCAGCTGGAACTCTTTACCGGTCCACATCATTCAGGAAAATTCTCAAGTACAGTTCAAAAGGTTGCTAAAAAATTATTTAAGTATTATAAAGTAAATTTGAACTGTGTCTGTGGCTATGTATGCATATATTATTATGTACCCTTATTTGTATTTACTTTTGTTTGGCCTTAGGATGGCGATAATTGGATGACCATTTTAGTTTTCACTTCATACAGCACTGTAAATTGCATGAAATTATGAGTTTTAATTTTGTTGTATGTATGTTTATGTATGTTTTGTGTGTGTGAGGACCCCAGGAAGAATAGCCAATGCTCATGCTAGTGCTAATGGGGACATAAAGACATTGATAGTTCTCTACATGAGGGTGTGTGGCAATGTGTGTGTTTGTTAAGGGGCTTACATCAGAGCTCATCATCAGGCACATGTTGCTATGCTAACCTCTCTTATTATGAACGCTACTGAGGCTGATAGTAACATTATTGGAGCTAAGATGAAAGCAATGAATGTATACAGATGACCAGAAAACAAACCTGTGTTTTGAATCTGGTCTGAATGAGTTTGAAAACACTGGAATCAGAGTCCCAATCCATGCAGACTCAGCATCCCCCTCAAAATCACTCCTTACACCCAGAAACATGAGAAATGACCTGAAGTGTCCACAAACGACGTGTAACACCGAAAAGTGCAGTGGGAACAGATTTAGCGAATAAACTATGAGCTACAAGAAGTATTTGACGTCTTTATATTCTGGAAGACAATATTAGAACAATGATTTGCATTTTGAACGTGTTCCCCCCCCGTCCCCTCGTCCCACCTCCCCCAGTCATCTATCTGATATTCTGCGTCTGCAGGTTAACCAGCTTGGTCTGTACGGTGGTTTCATTGGAAACTATGAGGAAGCTGTTCAAGTCGTTCGCAAGTGCACACAGTCGGACCCTCGCTTCCGGACCCTGGCACAGGTACCACAAACCTCCAGAGGAGCATGTACTGGGACATGTTGTGTTAAAAAGTATCCTAACCTCACCTTTTCTTTCGTCTCTCCAGAGCATGATGTCCAACATCGGCTCGGACAAAACTCGTACCAAATACACATTTGAAGGTACAGAATCTAAATGTGTGGTTTTTGTATAACTTATTGGCGGACACGGTGTCTGATTGCTGTTTTTGTCATTGCAGCGCTACTATACAAGCCTTTGGACAGAGTCACCAAGACCACACTTGTGCTGCTTGTGAGATAATCATTAATTCCCAAACCTCCCATAGCTTCTACTGTTCTGATTACGCTCATCTTTCCAACCAACTCCAGTACCAGGAAATAGCCGTATCCTACTTTTTCCCACACTTTCTGACTCAGCATCCTCTCTGTGATCCTGTAGGACCTCCTGAAGACGACTCCAGAAACCCACCAAGACTACGCACTGTTACAGGAAGCTCTCAGATTGTCCCGCAGCTTCCTGTCTGGTGTCAACGAGAGTTCACAGAGCAAACGAGGGGTCACGCTCAGTCACGGCATGGTGAGGCATACACTGGGCAAAATCTGGCCAAGATTGTTATGAAAAAGTCGTTGATACTTTACCCCAGAACATGTTGTGTTTGTGTGTGACTCCAGAGACGTAAGCTGATGCGTGACGGCTTTGTGGTGGACGCGAGCGAGGGGGAACGCCACATTCGTCACCTCTTCCTCTACACCGACCTCCTGCTGTGCACCAGATTCAAACATGCAACCAGAGGGTGAGCGCAGAAAGAGAAACCGTTGGGGTCATAACGATTTTTTGGCTTGTGTAACCATTAGCCAATAACCAACCAAGGTACCACCTTATCACCTGAATCTCCTCCTAGATCACCAGTGTGTTCTTTTAAACCAAATATCTCTCAGAGGGGCGTGGGGAGGGGCTCCTTATTTTCATCTAAAGTAACAGACAGAGAATCAGCACTTTTGAAACAGGGCTGAAACAGAGGGGATTATGGGATGCTGCAATGATCTGATTGGTATTTGGAGCCAAACACTTCAGAGACATGTTTTGTATATATCTGACACCTATAATATATTGATGAAAAACAGTATAATAGGGGACCTTTAAAGAAACCAGCAGTTTATAACACTGCATGTAATCTTCCAGGAAGCAGGACCAGTACAGGTTCGGCTGGTTTCTGCCCCTCGCTGGCCTCAAACTTCGCTGGATCGCAGATCAACATCGTTCTCCAGACGCACAGCTTCGCCTACACACCATAAGAACAAAGATGCACCTCCTACGTCAGCAGCTACGACAACACGCAGTATGTTTTGACACAGCGAGAAGAGTATGGGCAGTGTTTTTTAACAGCTGGTTAATTTATTTAATGTGTTTGTGTAAAGCAGGGGTCCAAGGGTTTGGCTTTTGCAGCTCGTAGCAGAAAGAAACTGGAGCAGGCGGAGCTGATGCTGCTCACACACTCCCCGGTTTACACACTGGAGCTGCACAGCCCCAGCGGCAAGGTATACACACATTATCACTCACATTGCAGTTTTATATAATAATCATTCAAACTACAATTTAAAAACATCTGTTTTACCTCCCTACAGAGTCATACTCTCCTCCTCTCCTCGCTGTATGAGCTTGAAGAATGGAGGGAAGCCATTCACAAAGTCACTACAGACAGTAAGTCCAGTTTCTTTCACACCAATCTGCCACAAGATTTTATTTAACGTTTTTTGGGGTCTAGAGCTTACTAACAGTTGTTGGAAATCAATACATTTATTAGCAAGCATTACTGGAGACGTGTCAACACTATGGTGGTTATTGAGAAGTACGAAGTGTTAGTTAAGGGAGAAGGTGCTGTGAGTCAGTGTGCATAGGGGATAAACACATTTGAAAAATCCCGTGGACCCAAACATCGTTCTCTCAGGTCACATACACACACACCAGTGTCATTGCATGGGTTCTTACTACATACACTAAGGAACAATGATGCTAAGAAACACAAGTCTGCATAGTGCATCATCACCAAATCAGCATCTTAACTTTGAAGTTTATCAAAGCATTGTTAACCAAATATTTTTTGTTTTTAATTGTTGGATGGACAAAGCAAGCAGTTTAAAGGATTTTTCTTAAGATGGCAAAATGTGGTTTTATTACCATTTAATAAGGAAACAAGCGTCATATAAAAAGTAGTGACAATAAACAATAGCCTCAGTCTTAACGAAGCTAGCGTGAAAAATAGGCTTTATTTGGGTTTAAAAATACTGTATGACATAGAAAATATGTGTGTTTTATCATCCTTGCCAATGACTATTAAAGGTGATTCGCAATGATAAAATACATACTTTTTTTTGTATAATTACATTTTTAATGGAAATAATAACTCTGTAAACCAGTTCAAACACATTCTATCAAATGCATTAAATTGCATTCGAATGGGAACAATGAAAATGAAAGCCAAGTAATTCACATTTCAAGTAACCAAAGCCTCACTAGCACTATTCTCCATTAGCTTGTGTGTGTGTTCAGTCAGCTGACTGGAGCCTATATTTGCTGTGTGTTCCTCAGACATAGAGACCGTCCCCCCCGACCTGCTCACCCTCACCAGTGCATGTGTGAAACTGAGAATGACGCAGCAGCCGCCACTTCACAGCACCAACGCCGGTACGACCACCATCTCTGTCCCCCCCCCCCCCGTCCTCGTCCTCGTCCTCGTCCCCTCTCCTCAGACTCACATCCTGTATCTGAAACGCAATACACCGACTGTGAGCTCGACGCTTTTGATCTTTTAGTGCTGGCTTTCAAACCTTTTCAACACTTTCTGTATGTCTTTCTCGTCTTGCTCAGTTTCACTCGGTCGGGACGATTAAATCCAAAGAGCTTCTGGTTATTTATGTCTTTGTCTCTCAGCAGTAGAGGGCGAGATGTCTCTGTGTGGGACTCTGAGTGTGGCCGTGCACTCTGCCTGTGGCCTGCAGCAACCAGCCTGTATGGGAATTACTATTACAATGAATCACAATAATACATATATAAATGTGCCCCCAGTTGAAGGGATTATGTCAGAAGGTGAATCAGAGGTCACTTAGTTATCAGTTCTCTTTTTATTTTAGCTGTATACGTGTGTGTGGAAGTGGATGGATATGAGTTCTATGATAAACAAGCCACGACACACTCATCAATCCACAGCCTCAACCCACATTGGGACCAGGTGAGTTCAAAATGTTTATTAGCCTTTCACATGAAAAAAAGGAATTAAAACTGATATGAAATGCAGATGATTCGACCGCCAGACCAGGGCGGGATAAGACTTCTTCATGTCTAGACAGCATCTGACATGATGTCTTCGGGAGGATTTAAAAGTCGCAGTACGGTCAGACCGTGCTACGCTTTGAACATGATCAGTGGCAGTAAAATGTGCACCAAATCCAACTGGTAGCCAGGATCAAAAGGCTTTCAAATAAGACATGAATGCTCCTGTTGTGGCTGTAGTGTTAACACCACGTTGTGTCTGTCACACAGGAGCTGGAGTTCCAGGTGGACGCGGCTCAGGAGCTGAGGCTGCTCTGTGTGAGTCAGGCTGATGGAAAGAATGATACTGTCTTGGGAAAAACTTCTGTAAAGGTATGACGTACACTGGGCTTTGGCTTTATTATAAGGAAAAACATCTTCTTGAAATCAGACATTTAGCATACAGCTCAGAAGTGCACCAAAAGCTATGTAATCTCATCAATGTTTTATATACAAAATGTGACAGATGATGCTATATGAAAGGTTAGCAGTTAAAGTTGGTACTAGCTAGGTAATTCTTAAGAGCGTTTATAAGAGCAAGATATTTCCCTTATAGGTGGTGGAGACCAAAACAGAGAGTAAATATTCCTCTTACATCGAGCAAAATCAAGTCTCTGAATGTTGCTCCATAACTTCAGGATGTATTTATAAGCAATTGTTGTTATTTCACACTATATGTCCATGTTCTTCTGCCCAAAAGTGCATGAAAAAACAACTAATGCTCCTTTTTAAGATATAACTAAATGTTGTTTTTCTTCATTTTTGATGTGGACTTTCAGTTGGAATCTAAAACCCTGAATGAGCGATGGAGGAGACAGACGCTACACCTCGGCCAGGTGGATGTGACCGTCTCCCTGAAGTTCTCCCCCCACCCTCTTGAACCCCCCAGCGCTACAGCTCCTCTACATCCTGTCTTCTGCGTCCCCATTGAAATTGTTACTCAGTAAGTCCTTGAAATACAAAATGGGTTGTAGCTGAACCCGTCTGGGCTAATGAGGTTGTTTCAAAGGCTTGATAGCTGCACTTCAGTCTAGAGTTTGATTTCCCTCAGCTACTTTGAAGAAGTGAGTGGTTTGTTGTGTGGTAGAGTGGGCTGAAGAGAAGCAGAAGTGTAGCAAGAGAGGAATCTGAAATGAAGCGACGCTTACATATGAAATATCTGAAGTGGGATTTTCGTCCTTATACTTTCTATTGCTTGGCAGACAGGAAGGAGTGATGGTGCCCCACGTGGTGCGCTGCTGCGCGGAGGAGGTGGAGAGGAGAGGCCTGGCGGAGGTGGGGATCTACAGGATTTCCGGATCCTCCAGTGACATCAACACGCTGAAGACTGTCTTCAACAGCAGTAAGAATCATTCAAGTTTCAGTTTCAGTTGTCATTCAGACAGTCCTTCTGTTTTTGTAAACCTGGCACTGGTTCACACAGACCTCAGCTTCCTGCAGATGTGAAGACCATGCTAGCAGCTCTGACAGTCTACTCACTCACACCAGTATGCTAATATGCTAACGTTTAGTGGGTTTATTGTTTTCCATGTGAGTTTAGCCGGTTAAATGCTAACATTTATTTGGTTATTAGAAATCACAACTGATGCTGGTTTGAATGTCAGAAGTTTGGTGAGTTTTTTTTATCTCAAATGATAATTTAGTGATGTTGATGACGGAATGAGGATCTCTGGATAATTTGGAGAGTTTATCCTCTGGGGACCATGCACAAAATATCACTGCATCCATTCAATAGTAATCTAGATATTTCCACTGTTAACCCAAACACCTTCAATTGGCTTTGCAGGAAAAGTCAGGGGATCACCCAAATTCATTTAAGGATCAACCTCTGGGGACCATGAGCATATTTACAGTTGTTACAGCAGTCTTTACCAAATGACAATCATGTGGAAATGTCAAAATATCTCATGTTTGCTACACATTTCAAATCCTCCTGTAAAAACCAAGTCATTCTGACCCATGCTGCCGATAACCAGCTGCTGTTTCTTAGCACTCTGACTAAACGTTTTCTCTTGAGGTCACAAAGAAGGAAGTGTGTGACCTGAAAAGTTGCAGTAACATTGATAACAATCATCATGTCTCTGGCATGCTCAGATCTGCGTGACGCTGTAACCAGGCTGAGGAGGGCGGAAGTGAACGTGGTCTCTGGTGTCCTCAAACTGTACTTCAGAGAGCTGCCGGAGCCCCTCATCCCCGCCGACAAGTTTCAGAGCCTGGCCAGGTCGCTGGGTAGGAAACGTGACAATAACATGTCTCTATTTAAACCGGTGTTTATTCTCGATTCAGTTTGAGGCGATTAAATGTTTATTTTCATATAGACTAGTAAACATTCTAAATCCTGTCAATCGCCTGAAATGCAATCCCTCAACAAAATAATTGGTAGAAATTCAAATGCAATATCCATGTTTTTTGATGTTGGCTACAATTTGTAGCTTGTAAATGTTGATTACAACGGCTTTAAATTATTCCCGTATTATTTCATAGAGTAACTCTAACCCTGTTGTTGTTTAAACCAAGTAAACTAAACTTGAAGTGCTCTGAACTTCACAGATTTCTCTGTCCTTTAGAGATTCAAGACGTAGACTCCCGGCTGGTCTCCATGTTCTCCGTGCTGCACTCCTGTCCCGCCCCCAACCGCAACACCTTCCTGTTCGTCCTGCACCACCTCCAGAGGTCTGACAACAATCACACAGCATCAAAAGACTCCTGACTTGAATATATCTTTCATTATTTGTAACATTTTCTCTCCAGAGTTTCTGAGAAGCAAGACACCAACAAGATGACTCTGATGAACCTGGCTACGATATTCGGTCCCAGCCTCTTACGCCTCCCTGTGGCGGCACTGGGACCCATCGGCTCCTCCATGGATATCTCTGTGGAGGTGGTGCTGCAGGTGGGAATGTAGCAGGAGAAGGAGGGCTGAATAGAGGAGATGATTGATGTTGGGTCTAAACACAGTTCAACACATTCTCTAGCAACATATGGGCTTTGTTTTCTAAACAATTGCATTTGAGGATTTTTTGGTTTTCTGTTTGTATTAGAAAAAATACTGTCAACAATAGTTCACAAATGAGTCATTTTATATTTATTTCATCAGTTAGTTGTAATGTTTAATTTGTTACATGACGATTTGAATGCTATTTTTGAAGCTTCTCGACAGAATAGAGTATTCATAAAGAAATGCAGAATAGTCTTTTGTTGTTTAACCGGAAATACTGGAGTCACCTATAACATATCAACCAATTGCTAAAACTATTAGAATAGATTTATAAAGGACATGACTACAGTATTTAAAGGTTGCTACAGCTAGACTAAAAAAAAGAGCTATTCGAAAATAAATTATAATGAATATGTAAAATAATAATTGACTTGTATTTAGATAAAAAGGGGTTTGGGAAAAACACATTTTTTAATTTCACAAGTCCCGTGAAAAAGTCTCCGCGTGCATGTTGAAGAATACTTTACAAAACCTGTGTGTGTGTGTGTGTGTGTGTGTGTGTGTGTGTGTGTGTGTGTGTGTGTGTGTGTGTGTGTGTGTGTGTGTGTGTGTGTGTGTGTGTGTGTGTGTGTGTGTGTGTGTGTGTGTGTGTGTGTGTGTGTGTGTGTGTGTGTGTGTGTGTGTGTGTGTGTGTGTGTGTGTGTGTGTGTGTGTGTGTGTCAGGTCCAAGTGGTTTTCTGCTACCTGCAGTGCAACAACCTCCCTGAAGCCCAGACCTCTCTGCCACATGACACAGACTCTGAAGATGAGACCACCCACATGTGAGACCACCACCAGTGTCAAATACTGCGTGTGAAGAAGTATCAGCAAACTCTTAACACAATAAAATTATTTATTGATATAAATATGCACTGTGTCTATTTTGTCAGTGTTTTAAACCCGAAGGGTGACAATTTGAAATGTAATTAAATCATTTTGATTTAGTGCAGTATCATTAGTCACAGATATATATATATATATATATATATATATATATATATATATATATATATATATACACTTCTTTTATATGCTGCATTCATTCTCACAAACCAGCTAGTAAGAGGCTTTCAATCTCTGTTTTACTGATTTAAACCAAATCACATTTAATTATACAAAATCCTATGTCAGATACATTTTGAAGATCAAAGTCCAATAATGTACATTTTAAGCGTTATTATTTTCTATAAAAGTTCATTTTAAGTGAATAAATATGATTTCTAAATACCAGCATACTTGAAAAGAAACTACAAAAACAAAACAATTGGAAAAAATAAAGTCGATTTTCTTACCTTTATTTTGAGGATTTTACCAGTCAAATGTAGAATTGGCAAGGATAAACAAATAGTTAAAAATAAGTTCATATTAGGTAAAAAACAACATGGTAATGAATCCCAATATGTCTTCTGTGTTACTGTGGTGTAACTTTCATTATACGGCAGATTGACTAGGTGGCACGGGGAGTAACGTGAAGTTAAAATGTGGTGGAGGAAAAGTCAGGGATGCAGATGTTGTAAAAAAAGGGTCAGGGGTCACCTCCCCGAGCCTGAAAACCAATCGGTTACGGTTCAAATCCAACTAGACGGAGTTCACCACGAAGTGCACGGCCCATAAAAGTCACTCACACACACACACACACACACACACACACACACACACACACACACACACACACACACACACACACACACACACACACACACACACACCGTACTGGAAGCCAACACACACATGTTCACGGCCCATGTTCGACCCATCCACACCACAGATGGGGCGTCTCTTTTCAACCGCACCACCTGGGCAGGCCGGGCTTGTGTTACCCCTCAACCTTTTACCCCCCCTCGCTCTTTTGATCACTAATCCTGCAGCCCGACTCCAGCTCTCCAGCACTAATAGACTCTGCCTGGACGCCATAACAACATCCAGAACAAACCGAAAGAAAATGGTGGCTCACCCTTGCTGCCCTCAGAGTCATAAATCACCTGTCCCCTCTAACACGCTGGCTGCCAAAATAAAGTTCCGCCCGGCGACTACAAAGACAAAATGAGGTTCAGGCTACAGACTACAAAGCCCAGGAAGGCCTGAGACGTCCCAGACGTTTGTGACCAACGACGGGACCAGACGACTGGTCCACACCTGGGGCTGCTGGGAACATTTTTACAGGAGACGTCAGTTTCTGGACAGCACTTGTTCCATACAGTCACACACACTGACTGTCTCGTCTACAGAGATTATACAGCCATGTTATTTATGTGGAAATTCTTTGAAACATATGGTGGTAGAGTCATTTGTATACACGTATTTTGGAGATAGACCTAACAGACCAACATTTAACCTAGATTTCTTTAGGTTTAAGATCAGGTGAACCCAAAATTATTCTTTTTTAGAAACTGGGATTGTTTTTCAGCCGACCATGTGCCTTTTTTGAATCTCTTTCCTCAGCTAACAAGACATTTGTGAACTTTTAAATGCCATTAAAGAAACTCACAGCCCTTCAACAATGTTTAATTTTATCCTGAATAATGACACTTTTCAGCATCTATTTTACTTACACTTTTGACCTGTGTTTATCATGGCTCTTACTTGTCCAAATGCTACCTAAATGGTTTGGAATTTAGTTTAGATAAAGCATAAGTAAACCCTATATATACCATATTGAGTTTTATATATGTTAAGTGTGTTCTTTAAATTATATTTCTATGAATTTTTACCCTGTAACGTGTCTTTGAGTATCTTGAAAAGCGCTCTAAATAAAATGTATACAGTATATCATACTGACCCTCCTCCGGTGGAGCTGACTGTAAGTACGTTTTTTTCATTATCTTGAAATTCTCAGTGAAATGTTTCCTATAATTACAGTCTTTTCACAGTTTGTACACACAAGCTGATCAGAGTTCCCAATGAATGATTGTTTGGGATGTATATTATCTACATTTAAACTGTTTGTAGATGCAAAAACAGCAATCATTTGTGCAAAATGTCGAACCGCTGGTGTGCACATGTTTGTAGTGCAGCATGTATACCGTATGTGTGTGTGATGGTGTCGCTGCCCGGAGCTGTGCCATGCTTGATTAGCACTAATCTAGCTGGGAGTCGGGTTGCTGTGTCGGCGGCGTGTCTGTATGGAAGGCATGCAGGCTGCGGATCACAGGGATTGACCCTCTGCCTCTCAGGTTAACAGAAGCCCTATGTGTGTGTGCGTGTGTGTGTGTGTCTCGTGAAAAACGGTGTGACGGTGAAACCGGCTGAACTTGGACTTGAGATCTCGGATGAGAAACTTTGAATTGTGTATGAAGAAAGAGTTTTGAAAGTGAAGTGAATTTAGCAGTGTGTGTGCGTGTGAGAGTAAAAAATAAGGAAATGAAAGGATAAAAATAAAACTGTGTTTGCGAGAGGGCTAGTTGAACTTTGGCTCTGGCTGCAGTGCGGGAGGAGTCACCTCTCGTAAAACCTACCCTCAGCAGGTTGTAAACATAATACCACACACTCAGAAGAAGAAGATCCCCCTTTTCAATATGGCCCCCAACACAGCAAGCCCTGGCTTCTTTGTCCACAGTGTCTTGGAAAAGTGTGTATTGCGCTTCGCAGCAGAACACGCCGCTAGCTTAAGTTGTCTGTTAGTGTCTGTGTAAGTGTGTGTGTTTGGGGAGTTTCAGGATCAAACCCTCATGTCGACAGAGGCTGAGGAGACGACCGCTGACAGGTGCTTCCTGCAGCAACGCAGCAGGTGCTTCGTACACACTCACACACAAACACACACTCCAAGGGCCTCCAAGACATGATTGTGCATGTACTGACACACACACTCTGTCAGTCCCTACCCCCCATTACTCCCTCCAACACACCAAGTTTGTATATAAGTGCGGATGTGAGCTGTAACGCTGCAGTGTACCGTAAATGATGACTGTTACAGCTACTGCGTCGTACTGTTAACATGTTTTTTTATTTGGATATCTTTGTCACGGCTGTTAAAGTAAATAAAATAAATTCTCTCAATTATTTGAATGTTTAGGAGTTTGCATCGTTGACATGGAGTGCTGCTGTAGGCTAACCCAGAAGTTAGTATAACTTTCCCTTGAAAAAAGTAAGATATTTTCCTTGGATTTGGGATTTTCGCAGCAAGTTTATGATACTCAAATGTAGCCAGATTTTCCCCTTAAAGCAGATTAATGTAAAGTAAAGTGATTAGTTTATCTGAGAGAACCAAAACAATTAGCTTATAGACGCTAAAATACTTTGTAAAGCTAAATGGACCACAGGTCATAAATGTGTTAATATTGGAGGATTTTGCTGGTGATTTACTTGCAAAACTAGCTTTAACTTATTTCGGGGGCCCTGAGGAAACAAAATGACATAATCACAATAATATTCTTAAAACAATTGTTTTTCTGTATAGTTTCTAGGGTCTCCCTTGGTTTATGTTGGCCCCAAGAAGCTGCTGAAAGAACATGGTGAAGATGTTTGGACCTCATGGGTATAAAAAGTAAACACAGGCAGTGAGTGTACTGCGTGTTCAGTCCTAAGCGTTCATCAGTCAGCGAGTCTATTTTTCACTTTGTATTTTCATTCACAGCTTCAACACGGTGGCACAGCCAATCGCTGACACCGCTGCTACCAAAACAACATGGCTGCTCAACAAATGGGCGCTCCTCCATCTGTCTTAATATACCCTCAACACCACCATTCCCCCTGGGCTATGACGCCATATCTCCCAAATGGCAACAGAAGTCATGACGACAGGTTGGTCTGATGCTTTTTAGATTCATATCTGGGCTCCTCAAGGCCTATCTGATGAGAAAATAAGGCTGAAGTTTGTTTGGTCTCTTTGTCAGCTGTCCAATTAGGGGCAGATTGTAGATAGTGTCACATTTCTCAAATAATGTATAGTGTGAATTAAAGGTTGTGTGTGTGTGTGTGTGTGTGTGTGTGTGTGTGTGTGTGTGTGTGTGTGTGTGTGTGTGTGTGTGTGTGTGTGTGTGTGTGTGTGTGTGTGTGTGTGTGTGTGTGTGTGTGTGTGTGTGTGTGTGTGTGTGTGTGTGTGTGTGTGTGTGTGTGTGTGTACGTACGTACATATTTGACCGACTACTAACACACACATGAAGAAGGAAAAACCTAAAAAAGACGAACCAATATTCAAAATGAGTTTGGAAATATTGCAAAGCTATTTCAGTACAATTTTATATTTGTAATGTTTCTTCTGTTGTACGACTTATATCAACAAATTAAATAAAATGCTATATAAAAAACATGGCCACTTTTCTTCATTTATTATTTTATTTGAAAAAGAAAACATCACAGTAATGAATCAGCATTGACTGCATTTGTCACTTTTATTTGTATTTATTTAATTTATTTATTCAGTTATCTCTTATTTGTGTTTGTGCTACACGATACATAAATATGATTAAAACAATCTTTTAAAAAAAAATCTTTATTAGACGAAAACAGCCCTCTATTACAGTCGGAAAAATGTGTCCGTCTTTCATTTTCAATAATAATTTTTGTATAAAATATGAACATTCTTACATATATATTTCACATGGCACAAGTTGTGTGTATTTTGATCAGTTGGCAAATACCCTCCAATAAAACCCACATACATATAGCCACTGTCTCTTCACAGCTTTAGATATTAATTTGAACGTCATATTACAGCTGTTATTGTGTGTGCGTGTGTGTGTGTGTGTGTGTGTGTGTGTGTGTATATGTGAAGGGGAGTTTGTCCAGGCTGAGGAAGCAAAAGTCATGCCTCCTGAAACTTTCTGTAAAAATATAAAACTCTGAAGCCGTGCATTTCTTGTTTTTATGTCTCTCTGTGAACAGGACCTTGAGTGGAGCAAACTAGAGTGGGGGTAGGCGATGGGGTCTCCTCTGTGTGTTTCACCTGTGTGTGTGGCACCACTGATGTTTGAGTGTCCTCTATGTGTGTGTCCACGTGTGTGTCCTCTCTTTGTTTCTCAGTCAGCAGGTGAGGGGGGATGTACCCAGACTGGGGGTTTGTTCGCTCCCTGTGATGGTGGTGCTCGTGGGGGGATTTCGGCGGGCAGTGGCCCCTCTTGTCCTGCCCCCGGAAGCCCCTCAGTTTGGGGCTCCAGTGTTCCCGCCACTGGAGGGCCAGGGTGGAGCGGTCCGCCACCAGGCGACTCTCCTCCGGGCCCAAGCCCCGCTCCCCCTCCTCCGCACCGATCAGCAGGAAGGTCCGACCCACGTGGAGGGAGGGGCAGCCGCAGCCCAGGTCTCGGTCGGGGACCCAGAGGGACTGCTGGCCCTTTCGGATGCGGGATTTGGACCCTGCCCGGAAGACGGTTTGGACCGAGATGGAGAACTGCCACCAGGGACCTGAACGCTCCATCCCACGCACCTGCACCTTCAGCACTGAGAAAGACAGAAATGCAATTTATACTTACTTTTAATATTATTGTGTGTGTGTTGTTGTGACCCAAATGTGGTTTCACTCATGAGATTTACAGTGGGTTAAAAAAAGGAAGCAAAGTGAAGAAGGAAAAACAGTACATTATAGCTCATTTTTGACACGTTAACAAATAAAAAAACATGACACCAACCGAAGTCCTTCAGACAATAGGTCTCCAAGTTCATTCTGACTTTGCCCTGAGAAGGCTGGCAGTATGAAACACACTCCTCCGCTACAACAGAGAGGGGGGGAGAGAGAGAGAGAGAGAGAGAGAATGCATCAAATGAAAGGGTATCATTTCATAGCAAGCATATCAGCACATGTCTTTTCCCCCTAATTACAATATGGCTGCTTCTATTTGTCATCACAGTATCCTGTGACTAACAGATGACCCCCACTGCAGCAGGTGGGACATTCCTCAAGCCGCCGCTAGGAGGGAGTGGTAAGCTGCTGCATAAAGAGTTAGAGCGGGGGGGATTTGTTTTGATGTATGAAAAATGTGTATGCTGTACATGAGGTGACATCAAATTTGTTAAAAAGAAAGATTGGACATTGAATACATTTGTTATTATGACAGTGGAAGGTGACACATTTATTCTAGCACCTTTTAAAGTAGTTGTTCCAAGGTAAAATAACCCAAAGCATGACTAAAATAAATATGGACAGTCAGAATAAAATACCAAATACAACCAGAGGACTAAGCCTGTAGATCTGCTCACCTATGCTGTACTGAGGTTGAAACACTGGTGTCGGAGCGACCTCTTGAATTCCTGCAAACATAAACAAAGCTTCAGACAGGTGACAGGAAAAGATACACAGAGAAGCTTCAGCATTCCCACATGAGCTGTCAGGTTGTTGCAGAGCGAGTGTGTGTTATGTGTGCTATGCTTGAATGCCTCTCGGTACGTGGGGCATGTCTGCACAGAAGATAAGCAAGTGTCAAAAACGTGTGTGTGTGGTCCTTTTACGGCCAAGGAGAACACACTTAAACACAGCCACAAACTTGACTTTATGTATTTTAATAAGGTCAAGCCATCACTTTTTGCATGGTTTTGTCTCAAACGTTGAACAGAGTGTGGCTTTGACTGTGCGTTTGACGCTGAACTGGACCATACGTGTATTATCCAGGCCTCTTGTAAAAGTGTGTGTGTGTGACAGTGCGGCCATATTTTACAAAGCTCACACTCCGTTCCCCCGTCCACGTCCTGTCCTCTCTGACACAACTGGGACAGTGACACCCTACACCCCCACTTTTAAAAGACAGGAAGCTGCTGTGTGTTTGTATGTCTAATTACATAGGCCTACAGTATGTGAAGGGTCATTATTAGGTAAATGCAGAATACATGTGTCAGCAGCGCGGTTTGAATTGTTTAAGATCTTTACGGTAGCCTACTAATTATTGCCTTAAAAATACAGTATAAAAATGTAAAAATTATGATACATCTAGGAAATATCTGTATACAAGACAACAAGACCAAATGTGAAAACTGCACTCAGACGTAATCATCAGAGAAAATGCAGTGTTTTTTACATGTGTTAATATACAGCTTAAATATTACCCATGGTAATCACTTTGATTCATAAAATAAATGTCATTTTGAGTGATAAGAATTAAATATAAGTGTTTTGCAATCTATTTCAGCTTGCCTGGAATGCTACATTAACATGAGCTAGCTAACATTATGTTTAATACCTTCACCTGGGGTTTACTTCCTTCATTGTTTTATATAGATAAAGCTCCATTAATGTTTTTCTGTAAAATTAATTGCTGAATTATCAAGATCAAAACTGATATTTTTGTTTTACAGATAACAGTAAGTAAAAAGCACATTTTGTTTTAGCTTCAGCTAAAGCTAGCAATGGCTATCTCACCAGCTGGCTTTACCTTAATTAATTCCCTCTCCTTGGCTGGCTAGTTTGCCTTTCTTTTTTCTTCATCTTGATAATATATATTATTCTGTAAGCTTCTTAAAGGTGGGGTAGGTAAGTTTGAGAAACCGGCTCGAGATCGCTAGAATTTGAAAATACACAACCGGAGAAAATCTGCCACTTCCTTACAGAGCCCCTCCTCCAACACACACGAACGCGCACATGACCAATGAGGGCACGAGATAAGTTTGTGCACAGATGGAAGGCTGACAGGCAGGTAGGCCATCCAGTTATTTTAGCCGGGCCAGCTAAAATGATTGGTCGTGCTTTTTACAGTATTACGGCTTCCACAGATGACGTTTTTTTATGGATTTTTTGTCAAAGCACTTAAGATATTCATTGCTATCGGGATGTTAAGAGCATTCCATGGAATATAACAAAAAGTGTATCTCGAGCCGGTTTCTCAAACTTACCTACCCCACCTTTAAGTATGGATAGGCTACAGATGTTCTGTCATGATCTTGGTTTTTGTGTTAAATGTTTCCTGTTTTATTTTGAAATGTATTTTCTTGTTTTTATATTCCTGTCTTTGTGTTTTTCCCTCCTTTGTAATTAGTAGCCCCGCCCTGATTCTTTCCACCTGTGTGTGATCTCCTAGCTTTGGATTTAGCTCTTTGTTGTGTCATCCTGGTTTGTTCCTCACTTTTGTTTGCTACTTTCCATTTGTTTGACCTGGCCTGCTCTTTAAGATTTTGTGTTTTTGTTGGTAGCAGCTTTAGTTTATTGAAGCTTTTTGTTCTTACTTTAAACATGCCTCCTTTCCTTTATACTGCATTGCCTTACTCACCCCTTATGACAGGTTCATTGTTGGGCTTTGCCATATTGGAAAATCTGACATTGTGATATTTATTCATATTGCAACTTGGGGAAAACAAATACAATAACAGATTTCGTGCTCAATTCATTTGTACTTATTGGTTGAAGTGATATCAATGATGTTGACTGCAGACAATTCAGACCCACATAGTACGGTAATTAAATGCTCTCATGGAAAGCAAGCATTTCTCTTGTATCAAGCAGCAAAAAAGTTGTTGCAAAACGTGTTTGAGTTAATTTGCCAACATTGGTCATATCGCAATAATGTCCATGCTGTGCAGACTTGGTTCAGCGGGGGCTAACTTTACAGTTTGGCCTGTTGGTTGCGTGCCTTTTGGTCTGTCTGATGAGAGGCGGGGTGTTAAAGGTGGTGGTAGGGGGTAAGGGATGCTATACATAGCCTGAGATGGTCTGGCAGTAAAAACAAACAAGGTTTTCTTTCACACACTCCTTTCACTGGGAGAGTTATGAGTCTGGGCCCTGTGATGGGGGGCTTTTTGAGCTGTACAACAGGTGTGAAGCTCGCCCTGCTGGCTTCCTATGTCACCTGATTGGGGCTTACACACCGCAGTGCCTGTGTAGTTGTCGGCACTCACGCGATTAGCCAGGGAAGTACACGTGGATTAGCGCTCATGGCTGAAGTTCGGTGCTAGCCAGGCACAGAGATATGAGTAGAAACAATCCACTTGATCTGACGCTGATCCCACATCAGCTGGAGATGAGGTTTCCCTGTAGCGGTCAGCTCAAGTTAACGCTGCTATAGAGACCGTCTCTAGGGATGATGACAAGGGGACACGCTGGGGGATTGGGCCAAATTAGTCTGGACAGCAGCGGCCCCTTTTATATTGAGCTACCACTCGATAAAGGTTTAGAGAGCTTGATAGGAGGTTTAATCCATTTAGGCCACAAGCAAATGAGTTTGAAGGAGAAATTAAAGAGGTCACTTAATTATGAGTGACATCAAGCTATTACAAGTCTGTGATTCATTTGAGCAGGGTGGCATGCATCAATGGCAGAGACAACATTGTTTGTAGAGAAGTTAAGACTCAAAATCCATATATAATAAAAGTACTCGGTATTCCTACGACGATATGTTTGCTGTTGTGCCCCAGAATTCGGGGGCCCTCTTCTCCAAAAGCTGTTGGTGCTTCACAGAGACAACTACCATATGATTGTCATATATTATTACTGATAGGTGACTTACGTATGCAGGGCCGCAGAGGGGACTTGCCCTGTTTGTATCCCGGAGCACAGCGGTTACACCGGGGGGCGGTCACCCCTTCTCGACATAGACATTGACCTGATGTCTGGTTACACCATCGACCCACTGCTCCCAAAGGATGGCACTCACATGCTGAAAGGCAGAACAAGGTGATTAGGGAATTACAAAAATAGGAAGTAAAGTAAAAAAGTATTCTGAAGGTGGATACAGCAACAATTGTTAGTTTTTTTTTTGGCCACTTTGGCACAGCAAAACATACTCAAAATGGAGGTGACATGTTAGCAAAAATAAGTTTTATCAAGCATTAACAGACATGCAGCAATATAAGCATGTGTTGACTCGTTCTCACAGCTGTAAATCAATATTTACTTTGTTAAAGATGGGTTTGTCACTACGAGGGATGCCTCTCACATTTTGCCTTGTGATTTGAGCCATTTTTGACATTTTTCAATATTGTTTAGTGCAGATTCTTAGAAGTAGTTTTGT